GTACACAGTATACACTTACATATATTGAGTAAAAACACTCATACACATGCGATTTTTAAAAATTGAAAAATATAAAATGGTCTAGAGAGAGAGCTCAGTGGTTAAGAGCACTGTCTGCTTTTCCAGAGGACCTGGGTTAGATTTCCAATACACACTGTGACTTACAACCATTTAGAACTCCAGGGGATCTGAAATCCTTTACTGGCATCCACAAGCAAACCCTGGGATCTTCCTATTTCTCCTCACCCAGTGATGGAAATCACATCCTCAGGCTGTCCTTTTGGTTTTCATGTGCTGGCCATGGGACTCAGGTCCTCGTGCTTGCACAAGAAGCACTTTACTGACTCCATCATCTCTCCAGCCCCCAAAGACAATTAAAAAATTTTTTTGTTATATACTTATGATGCAGATATTAAAAGAATGAATAGTTCTGTACATTCTGGTTGTAGTGGGTAAGAACGCAGGTTTGAGCAGGTGTAGCAGTACATGTAAGCCCAGGTCTGGGGAGACAGAGGTAGAAAACTGTGGAGGCCAGACTGGGCTTCTGAGTGAGTTCAGGGCCCTCCTGGGTTATAAAACTTTACCTCAAACAAAAGTGGAAGCACTATGACAGAGCTGAGTTTGTAGTCCTGTGACAGAGTGCTCTTGTAGTGCTACCTCATCAGTTAGACTACAAATCAAGTAAGGAAAACAAAACAGACTGACAGCATAGTTCAGTGACAGAAGCCTGTTTAATATGCACCATGCCTTGGGGGCCATTCCCAACACAACACAGAATGATACAGTACAACACAAAACAACAGAATATAACTCAACCAGATGAAACCAAACCAGAATGCACGCTCTAATCCACTCTGTCTGGATGCAGACCTTCACTCCTCACTTACCTTCTAGTTTGTGGTGCTGTGGCTGTATCCTTGAATCACTCCATGCCACAAAAACCCCACAGCATAACACCATTGAGAGGATTATATGACTCCAATACTTAATTTTGTTCCAAGAAGAATTAGTATTTTTTTTTTAAAAAGATTTATTTATTTATTATGTATACAGAAGAGGGCGCCAGATCTCATTACAGATGGTTGTCAGCCACCATGTGGGTGCTGGGAATTGAACTCAGGACCTCTGGAAGAGCAGTCAGTGCTCTTAACCTCTGAGCCATCTCTCCAGCCCTAAGAATTAGTATTTTATTAGCTATGATTATCATCAGTGATATAAAAGGGTACTTGTGATATATTATTTGGTACAATTTTAATACATAGTAATATGTTCAATAAGATTCCACTTTTTTGGTTAAAACAAAAATCTCCGTGTATACACACGCAGGTGATTGGCACGAATGGACATTGGTATTTCTACATATGATGAACTAAGTTGCTAATCTTGTCTAAAAGCTAAAATTGCCTCACTCACTGTCTTTTACTTACGTTTGGTTTTTATTTGGGACAGCTCTGAAAGGATCCACTTGAGATTTTGGAAACCCACTTTCCCTAACCAGTCCTTGTGAGACAGACGCGAGGGACTCACATCTCTTTACGGTCACTTTTACTAGGTGCTGAGTACTGTTAAACACTGTGAGGTGAGTACTGGTTCATGATAGGTCTTTAATGTAATACTCTTTGATGTTTTTCCTTTTTCAATGATCAAAGCTGGCACGACTGAACTACTTACCATTTGACAGACAACTGTCAGACTCTCCCGGTGTATCGGACTGCTTTGACTGGCAAATGTCAATCAAGCAGTCCCTTTGAGGGGATTACAGCAGGAATGCTATCACCGTGGCCTGGTTGCTTTGAGTATTGCCTGGAAAGTGAGGAGATTCAACTGCAGGATTGAGGATGTTGTGACTAGAGCTGCTCAAGAGATCTCATTTTAGTTAGGTCTGTCCTAGATAGTTTACACCAGCTCTTGGAGACTTCACTTTCATCACAAGCCTCAGTGACAGATGACTCTGCCTATCTTGCTGCCATGCCTGCTTAGGACAAGGGAGAACATTTCCCCTGGTGACTCAGCGGAAAAGCTCCTAATTGCCACACACAAACCAGGCTCACGACCGGTGAAGACGTGAAGCTGTGACTGGTGGAACTAGGTGCTGCTCCTAAACATGCCACGCCCCCCTTCCGGCTCTATGAGCAGCCTGCTTGTTAGGCTCACGGGGTCAGTTTTGAAGGCTTCTTTTCTACGTACCATCATCCCTGTATATCATGTTAGGCCCCAGCAAGTCTCTCTCGAGTGGCCTTTCACTTAGCCATATACAGTCTTTACTGTAGGTAGAGTGGGCTGAACTTGTCACATGGAGAGAGGATAAAGCACAAGACCCCAGCAGAGGCACTGATGGAAGTGAGGAAGCAGCTGGAGAGCTCCAGAGAGCAGTCCAAGGCAGGAAACCACGGCGAGTAGAGCCTGAAGGTAAGAAACTGTGAAGAGCTGAGTCAGGAGGCTGCCAGCCCTGATCTGTGGAAGACTCCCAGAGAGCTGGTGAGGGTTGAGAGCACAGGGTCCTGATAATGGAAGCTTGAGCGCTGTCACAGCAGCTGCTAGGTTCTGTGCTTAGAGCTATATAGCCTCTGACCCCAGTTTCCAAGGTTCGAAGTCTCTGGCTGTGCAGTGTTGGAGCAAGCAGCCTCTGGCTTTGAAAGCTGCAGCTTGCTTTGACCTGAGTACTTATCTGTGTAATAGAAGCTTCTGGCTTTTAGAGCCTAAAGCCACAGGCCTCTAGTTCTCAAGGACTGGAGCTGTATGCCTCTGGGTCTTGGAGGCCTCGAATGCTCAAGAGCTCAGAGATGGTAACACTAAGGAAGCCACTCTTGCTATTCTTTTCCTCTTTTTTTTTTTTTGAGATTTTATTTTTACGTCTATGAATGTTTTGTCTGCACATGTCTGTGCAGCACATGCATGTCCACAGAGGTCAGAAGAGGGTGTCAGATCCTGTGGAACTTGAGTTGCTGATTGTTAGCCGCCATGTGGATCCTGGGAACTGAACAAGGGTCCTCTGCAAGAGCAACCAAGCTTTTAACCACTGAGCCATTTCTTCAGCCATATTCTTGCATTCTTGAACTTGCAAATAGATCAAAAAGACCCTCAGCCTGCCTCCACATTTGGAGCACTTTAACACAGTACAGAAATAGGAAAGTTTGTTATGTATCAAATTATTGACAAGGATTCTTTCTAGGGAGTGAAATGAGGGGATGGCGGTATGGGAGGAGCAGAGAGACATTTCTATACTTCAGTATTGTTTATAAATAGTTCATTGCACACTTATTTTGGAAGAAATGCCAAACCAAAGAGCAAGAATGTCCACTAAAAAGGACTGAGGCTTAGTGCAGTAGTACCAATCTATAGTCAGTTTTGTGTCCCCAGAGGCAGAGGCTAGAGTCAGGGAGTTAGGACATCAGTCTGGATAGCATGGTGAGACTGGAGAGGATGGAATGTGTGGCTTAATATACTATTAAGTCATTAACAAAAGTGGTTGTTGGGTAATATAAAGCTCTTTGAATTAACATTGAAAATGTTTATGGAGGCTGAAAAATTTACCCAGAACCTTGATCCCACGTGAGTTTGTTCTTCTGCCACTGACAATTATCTGACCATTTAAAACGAGTACAGATGTATTTGGCTCACAGTTTTAGAGGTTTAGTTCATGGTCACTTTGTTCCATTGCTGTGGGTTCGAGGTGAGGCTGGACATCATAGCAGGGAGCGTGTGGTGGAGTAAAGCAGCTCCTCTCCTGGCAAACAGCAAGCAGAGAGAGCAGGGACAGGAAGAGACATTTGCAGTGGAGTCCCTAAGGACACACTTCCAGTGACATACCTCCTTCAGTCGGCCCCACCTCCTGCTTTCCTCGGGCAATGAAGCTGTGAAAGCATCAGTAACCTGCTGATTAGGCCAGGACCCCAGGAGCCAATTATTGTCCCGGAGTCCCTCAGCTGGCAAACCAAGTCCCAGGGAAGGAGCATGCAGGGGCAGTCCATATTCAAACCTTATCGCTATCAACGAAGCTATACACGACGGGGCTGCACATGTGGGCAGCCACAAGGTCCTGAAGCACCAACACAATCCTACATTACATCATTTTTCTTTTGGGTGTGAGATGGATGAGGTAGGTGAACTAGGAGTAAGGACTCTTATTTTTTTTATATTTCAAACTATTTGCATTCTTTAAAAAGCTAATGTAAATTTCTTTGTAAAGGTAAAATAAATACAGGAAGTAATACTGTTAGTGTTTGTTAACATTTTGTACTTGCCTATGTCACATCCGGAACATGTATTAAAATTTTAAGGCATTATTTAGGGCCCTAGGGATTCATTCCATTTTGGGGAATTTCAATTCATTTAGGGTCTCGATATTCCCCCCTTCCCCAGGAAGGTATCTGATCTGGCACCTCATTTCTTACAGTGGAGAAATCATGTAATCCCTTAGTTTGTATTCCATTTGACAACTGTGCACGCCCTGGTGGACAGACCGAAGGCACCAAACTAAAAGTCAGCATTGCCACCCAACAACTCCTGTGAAGAAGACGAAGAAGAACTCTTAAACCAAGTCTTGGTAGCTCAAATAGGAACTTTCAATCTCGCGGTTCCCTGCCCTTCCCTGGCTGGCAGCCCGTTCCTGAAGCGTTGCGGAGGGACGGGAGGCGGGTGGGGTGGGTCTCCCTGGGTGCTGATCTCCTCCGGGTGCTGGTCCCTCGGTGCTCAAAGTTCGGGGCCGGCCGAGGCCCGGCCTGAGTCAGCGCAGCGGCCGCCGCGGGGTTCGCCGCGAGGCGCAGGGCGGGGCTTCCTCCGGCGGCCCGAGCCTCGCTCGCTCGACTCCTCCGAGTCCACGTCTCTTCCTCCGTCCCGGCGCGTGTTCCTTCAGCCCGGGCCAGGCCGACGTGACAGCCGCGCACCTCTAACGCCAGCGCCGGGGCCGCGCGCCTCGAGGGAACCTCTCGGCGGAGGCCGGCGACAGCCCGGCCCAGGCTCGGCCCAGGCTCGGCCGCACACCGGCTCCTCAGGAGCGGCCGCGCGCTTCTCCCCGCAGGCCCCAGCCCGCCCTCCACCTCGCTGGTCGCGGCGCGGCGCGGCGCCGGAGCGGGCGGCAGCATCCCGGGCTATGGAGACCGGTTCGGACTCAGGTCAGAGGCCGCGCGCCTGCGGCTGACGGGGGTGGGGGAAGAGGCTGAGGTGGGGGCGGCTCGCCCGCCGCCGCCGCCGCCGTCGCCGCCGCTCCGCTCGGCTCCGCGCGGGGAAAAGCTTGGCGGCGGCAGGTGGGCAGGACGAGGCGCGAGCGAGCGAGCGAGGGCGGGCGGGCGCGCGAGGGGCCGGAGGGGGGGTGTGGGGTGGAGGATGGCTCAGCTCTTTCTAAATATAAGAGCCGGCCGGCGTGAGGCGGGCGGGCAGGCGGGCAGGCGAGCGGGCGAGCGAGCCGGGCGCCGAGCCGCAGTCACTCGGCCGCACGGGCGGCTGCGGCTCCTCAGAGGCGCGAGCTCGCGGGGCGGCGCGGGGCGGCGGGAGCGACGCTCGCCGCGCGGAGGACGCAGGCGGCGGGCGGGCCTGGAGGGCGCAGCGCGGCCCGCGTGAGGGACCCGAGGCGGCCCCGGGCCCCTGCGGCACGGCGCGGCGCGGCGCGGCGCGGCACGGCGACGGCCGCGAGCCCCCCTCGCCGGCCGCCCGCCCCTCCCTCGCTCGCTCGCTCGCTCCCGGGCGCAACATGGCTGCGGCCGCCGCCTCCGCCTCCCAGGACGAGCTGAGTAAGTGCGGCGCGGAGCCTGCGGCCGCGAGCGGGACTCGACTCCACGCAGGGTCGGGCCCCGCGGGGGCCCCGGAGGCTCGCAGGGTGCGGGGCCGGGCGAGCGGGGCGTGGGGGGGGCGCTGGGGCGCTCGGGCCTGGCGGGCGGGCCAGCGGGCGGGCGGGACGCCGCCGCGGGCGCTTGTAGGCCGCAGGTTTGCACTGTCACGTCGTGAAATTGAAACCAGAGCTCGGGCCAGAACCGCCGCGGCTCGAAAGAAGCCGCCCCGGCCCGGGGTTTGGAGGAGCCCGGCCCCCTGACTGGCGGCCCGGGCTGGCGCGCGGCCTTTCGCCCCGGGGTCGGACTGTGTCCGCCCGTCCCGTCTGACCCCCGCCATGTCCGTCCCCTGATTCTGACTGACGGGCGAGTTCTGCAAATGGAGCTTTTGGGAAGGAGAGAAGGTGCCTTTTCCCCCCCGACATCCTAGGAATCGGCAGAAAGGTCACGGATTGGAGATGACTCTCAGGTTGAAGCAGGAAAGACGGAGAGGGCCGCTGTTAGCGGCAGGAAAAAAAAAATAAATAAATAAAACGCGGGCTGACAGAGCTGTCAGAAAGGAGAGGCAGTCACACTCCGTGCCAAAGGTTGCGATTTTCCAGGGGACGGTGATCCAAGCTCGCCGGGAGCAGTGGTCACCCCTAATTCCAGGCCGCCCTGCACGCTGCCAGTGTTCCACTCTATGCTTTGTGGGAAGTGTAGTTCCAGGGTGGTGTAGGCCTATTCTGGGGTCATAAATATTCAATTTCGTGGGGTAGGTAGAATAATTTGTTGCGTTTTGGGTGGTGAGTTCAAATGCTTTAGGGTGTTTAAGAGCACCTCCCCGCCCCCATGCTGCCCTTCAGCTAAAGACTAAAGAAAGGTGTTATTTGGGGATGATGTGTATTTTAAATGCGAGCATGGGTGAGGTGTTGCAAGCTTATGTTTGTGAAGCTTATGTTATTAAAGCGTCTCAATCGCCATGTGAAAGTAGTTAAATGTAATTTATGTTTCTTTGGTGCTTGGCAGTTGAAAGCTACTTTTATGAACGTGATCTCACTTTTGCCCTCGTAACAACCTTGTGTGGCAGGTAGGTAGGAATTATCCTTGTTTTAAAGAGGAGGCTGGTTTAGAGGGATTAAGTTCCTTGCTGCTTGACTCAGAACTGGTGGAGCAGGAGTACTGGTTGCACTTTTGGAAGTGGAAGTAAACATTTGGTGTGGCTCTAGGAAGAATGGAGAATCTGAGGGGAACAAGGCCAAGGTCTCAGGGTTTGGAGAGAGGTAGGTGTGGACTACTAGCCACAAAGTTGACTGCTTGCCTGTCAGCCCCCATGGAATCACCACTTGACCTTTTGAAGAGATCAGTTCCTCAGTTTTATTTTCAATATTTTTATTGTGGTAAGATACACATCACACAAATTATCATCCTAGCCATTTTTAAATCGTGTAGTTCAGGGTCATTATATGCATCTACTGTGTTGTGCAATCACACCATCATCCATCTTCAGGACTCTTCATCTTGCCAAACTGAAATTCTGTACCTGTTAAACAACTCCTCACCCCCTCCTCCATGAACCCCCGGCAGCCGCTTTCCGCTCTTTGTCTCTGAACTTCACTAGCTAGCATGTTTAAATGACTTTACACTGTATTTGTCTTTTTTTGCGTTTTATTGTTTTCTTTCATTTAGTATAATGTCTTCAAAGTTTATCCATGCTGTAACATCTGCCATGAATTTCTAAGATTGAATAATGCGCCCTTGGATGTAATACATTTTCTTATCCATTCATCTCTCTATGGACAAGTTGCTTCCAAATTTTAGTTATTAGGAATAATGTTGCTGTAGTCCTACTTTTAAATCCTTTGGGAATAGACCTTTAACTTTTGAGGAACTGCCTTTGTGTGTGTGTGTGTGTGTGTGTGTGTGTGTGTGTGTGTGTGTGTGTGTATGTGTGTGTGTGTGTGTGTGTGTGTGTGTTGCTAGGAATTGAAAGCAGGGCCTTGCATGTACTGGGCAAGTGCTCTATCATTAGTTACACTCCCAGCCTGACATTTGTCTTTTTGCCTGTGGCCATACCATTTCACATTCCCACCAACATTGCATGATGGGCCCCACTTCCCCAGATTATTGTCAATAATGACTGTTTTCTGTATTCTCACTAGTACCATCCTAGCTGATGTCAGGTGGTCTGATTTTATACATATTGACATGCCTCATGGTGTTTGGGTTTCTGTTGTAACACTAACATTAAAATCTCAGTTACTGGTAGGAATGGGGAAGAAAATGAGATGAAGAATTAGATAGCATTTTGAAGTGGCTCATGTGTTTGTGTATCTGTAGTTCGTACTTGTATATCAGGTACATTTAAGATGCAGATAGTATTTCTGGTTAAGAGATTTATTGGCATTAGCAGCAAATGTTAAAGTTAGGAACAGATAGTTCAACTCTAGTTATTCTGTTTTCTTTGGTCAAATTGTCAAAGAAATCTGTTGATTTAGCTTTTGTTTTTCTTCAGGAGGGATTAAAGACTTGGCATTTGGTTCCTTAGAATAATTTAAGACCATATACATAAGTGCAGGTTAAGAAATTTCAAATGAGGATCTTGACATGGTGGCATATTTTGGTAATCCCAAGCATTTGTAAAGCTGAAGCAAGTGGAGCTCCAGTTTGGGCCCAGTCTGAAATATCTAGCAAAACCCTGTTACACACACACACACACACACACACACACACACACACACACACACACACACACACACAGAGGCACACATGCGCACACACACCCCACTGAAACATTATTTTGTTTCAGAATGACTGTAATAAGAGGAGATGGAAAAAAAAAAGCTGGACAGTGGTGGCGCATGCCTTTAATCCCAGCACTCGGGAGGCAGAGGCAGGCGGATCTCTGTTTGAGGCCAGTCTGGGTTACAGAGTGAGTTCCAGGAAAGGCTCCAAAGCTACACAGAGAAACCCTGTCTCGAAAAACCAAAAAAAAAAAAAAGAGAGAGAGAGAGAGAGAGAGAGAGAGATATGAATGGTAAAGGTGCCTTGAGGATTCTAAGAAAAAGGAATGAATTATCCAAATATCTGGTAGTAGTTTACTGTTTTTGAGATTGGTCTTGTTATGTTACACATGCTGGGCTCTGGGCTCCAATAATTCTCCTGCCTCAGCTTCCTGAGTGCTACAACTAACTATAGGCTGTTACCACTGTGTCTGGCTTACTATTATTTCTGCATAGTAGATGATAATAAAAGCATCCCTCTGGGTGGCAGCATTGTTTTTACCTCACTGTTTTATTATAAAGCTCAACATACAGAAAAACTGAAAGTGAGTATTTATATACTCAGCATCTACATTCTCCTTTTGATGGTATACTGTTGAGTGGCATTAAGTCCTCCGTCCGTCTTTCATATATGTAACCACTTTATGTTGCCACAGTATACTGCGCCCGAGCAGCAAAGTTGACTGTTGTCTCTACAGTCCTCCTTCCTTTCCCCTTCTTTCTTTCCCTCCTTCCCCTTGAGACAGCCTGGATCTATAACCCAAGCTAGCCTCAAACTGCTGGATCCTTCTGCTATGATTACAGGCATGGACTACCATGCCCAGCCTTTGATTAAGTGAGTGATTGAATGATACACCCTTGAATGTGTAAATGAGCAAAAGGAAGGAAGGGAAGATAATCTTCATATTTGTTAGAATTTATGTTCTTTTTAAAAATATAAATCTTATGTAATTTTTACTTTGAATCAGGTAGTTATAAAAGAATAGTAGTAAAACTAGTGTTTTTTGAGAGTATGCATACTTACTGACTCCTCAGAGTAACTGTGAGTTTGGTGCTGTCAGCCAAATGGTGAAGTTATCCTAGGGCATAGTTAGGACTTGAACTTAGATTCTTTGACTTAAAAAATTAGGTCAGTTCTGCTCTGTCAGCTGTTAGCTTCCCTACAATTATAGAAAGAAGTAGTTATAGTTTTAATGTTTTTTTTTTCTTTTATCCTCTTGTATAGGGATCAAAACCAGTGTGGGTATGCTGGGGAAGGGTTCTACTACTAAATAAATTCCCATCCCTGTGGCAGAGAATGTACTAGACTTTCAGATAGTATGTGGAAAAAGAGATTAATTAATTTATATTGTTAAACATGTTTCTTAAATCTGGTTTGTAATTATGTTCATAGTCTGGTTTTCTTTGTATTTAGGCTCATATTTGCAAATGGAATGAAATTCACTAGAGGGCAGATGGCTAATTTGTATTGTAACATTATCTTTTATTGGTTCACGGAAAAGCCGGCACTGTAACTGTGTTTCAGTAGCTGGGAGAGGTGCTTCTGACAGAAAGAAGAAAGGGTCCTAGAGTTTTTGTTTGGTCAGCTGCTTAGTGGTTTCCTGTTCTTGACTTTATAACTGTAGGGTGGCATTCAAACCTGATCTTTTGTTGGGTTACGGACAACTCTTGAAGAAGCAGCGTAAAATCTTGAAGTTTATACTGTTCAATTTGATCATTGGATATAGCTGTGTGAAACCTTCGTGGTATAGGTTGTCAGATAATCAACATTCCAGCAATCTTTTGAGACTGGCTCTTTGAGAGGATGATATATGGCAAACTGGTAGGTAGCTGTGTACTTCACCAATTGTGTGGGCATACTGAAATAGTTCTTCAAAGTTGGTCACTGAAATGACGGGCATATAGACTGCTGAGCTGATCTTTGTAGAAAGGCTGTCAAGCCTGTATCATTAAATTTAGTTACTCCAACAAATAGGACGTTAAGATGGAAATGACAGCAGGATTTCTCTCTCTCTCATTTTACTCCAAATTTTTATTTTTACCCTATTTTTTTTGAATTATGCTTTCAGTAAACAATAATTTTAGTAATGGCCAAAGCCAATAGTTGTCATGGGGAATACTGGCCTTGTTCAGAAGATGGATGTTAAAACTGTGGGCAGTTGCCAGTGTGCTTAGATGGTTTGATCCAGTTGTTGATTTCTTCTTTCAGTCCTGGCCAAGACTCTGCTTTGATACTTGCTGTCTTGTATGGCGTGTTTTACCCACATATTTTCCAATTCAGTAAGCAGACTTTTAAGACAGAGTGAGTAATTTATGGTCTTGTCCTCAGAATGCTTATAATTTGTCACAGATTTATATGTCAATATAAATAGCTAATATGAAGTATGGTATGAAAAATGCTTAATATGAGTGTTTGGAAATCTCAAGGAATGAGTATAGCATTCTAGGATCTAAGGAATAATAGCTTAATTTGAGACATGGAAGTAGAATAATCATTTTAAGAAAAGGCTAAGTAAATGATGTGAGAGGAGTGGAGATATTTTTATTGTGGCTGTGTAAAGAACTAGGAAAGGAAATAAACTTGGTAGTCTGAGACTTGCTCTATCGTGCTTTCATGATTTGGGATCTAAAATAAATTATTTTCCTGACTTTTTTTCTTTTTCATAAAATGGGGTGATGACAAGAAATACTCATGGTGTTGTTAAGATTGTTATATGTCAAAGTGCTCTGTATAAACAGTTAAGGTCTCTAAATTTACTAGTTTGATATGGGGGAAGACAAGAACAAATAACATTGGGAAGATAGGATGGGCCAAGGTATAGAAATGCCAACAAAAGTTTGAACTTTGTTCTGTAGATAGTAGAGAACCAGCAGAGATTCCTAAAGGGGTGTTATACAACATGAGAAGATCTGTTTTAAAAGGCTAACAGATGGCAGTGGTAAAATTGATTGTAAGAACCCAGAGATCAAGAGCACAAGACTCATTAAGAGGGGATCACAATGGCTAAAGAAATGTAGGGTCTGAATTGAGACAGTGGAAATGGAGTTGTTTGGCAAGGAGATAATGCTGTGTATATCGCTCTGTATAAATAAAATGCTGATTGGCCAGTAGCCAGGCAGGAAGTATAGGCGGGACAAGCAGAAAAGAGAATTCTGGGAACAGGAAGGCTGAGGAAGAGACTCCAGCCTGCGGTCCAGGGAGCAACATGTAAAGGCAACAGGTAAAGCCATTGAACGCATAGCGACATATAGATTAACAGAAATGGGCTGAGTTAAGTGTAAGAGCTAAACAATGGTAGGCCTGAGCTAATGGCCAAGCAGTTTAATTAATATAAGTTTCTGGTGATTATTTTATAAGTGGTTGCGGGGTCTGTGGTGCTGGGCAGGGCTGGAGAAAACTCCAGCTACAAGATAATATTAGTGCTGAAGCCCTAAAATATATAGAAATGATTGGGCTATTATTATATAGATGAGGATTATTAAAGAGGGGGAAGAGTTAGGGATGATTCTAAGAATCTAACTGGAGACTCTAGGGTAGGGAAATAGGACAGAGTTAGAGAATTGGAAATGAAGGAAAACAAAACCAAGATTGTATTCAACAAATAAGTGAATGAATGACAGAGGCATCTTTGTTGAAAAGTTCAAGGAAAATGTTTTAAGTGGTGGCTAGTGCCTCTAAAATGAAGAGTCAAAACTGTTTTCAAATTCTTCGCTTTATCACTTTTTGGTTAATGTGTCCTTGATCACAAAACTACCTACCTTTGGGCCTTGCTTTTCCCGTTTGTAAAATAGGATCAGAACAAAACCAACTTACAGGATTCTAAGAATGGGAAGAGATGATGCATGATGCATGTTAAAAACTTGGTAGTGTTTGGCACATGGGTTGCATGTGTGTGTGAAATTTGATTCCAAAGCTTTGAAGAGGTGGAGATGATGATGGGATCATGGGGATGGAAAGAAAGGTTGTTCCAAAGACAACTCTTTGGAGCCTGTGAATATGTAGGGAGGGTTGAAATGACATGATTCAAGATGAGGAGTGCTGGGAAAAGTCATGAGTTACTACAGTTATCAATATTAACTTTTTCCCTCCCCTGAGTGTTTGAGACAAAGTCTCCCTATGTTGTCCATGCTAACTTCAAACTCTTGATCCTCCTGCTTCAGCTTCCTAAGTACTCAAGCATTTATATTTCTCAGTTATCATATTGGCTATCATTCTTCTTATAAAAGTACTGTGTAGCTGAGATACTTCCTTTAACTTTAATGTAAGGTTTTAATATGTTTATGATATACACATACTTATATGATAAAATACATATTGTATTGGTATTGGAGTTTTAAAATCTGTATTCAGTTATTATCAGTGTATCTTTTGAAGCTTTATATAGGCTCAAATTCTGCTTATGGAATGCTCTTCTTCCCCAAATTTGGTAATTACTGTATTTTTTCTTATTCACAAAGGAGGGCATTAAGGATGTTAGCAAGAAATGAAAAGTGCTTATTTTTCTTAAAATGGTAGCTGTGTGTTCAAGTCTTTAATTGTATTTTTTTTTGGTGTTCTAAATAATAGATTCTTTATACAATTGCATATGTACGAGTGGATGAACATACCATTGGTGATCCAGAGGATTTTTGTCAAGATTGGATAAACCATGTATCACATTGATTGTAGAGGTTAGTAGATTTAGTTCCTGAGGATATGTGCATTTTTATAGCAGCATTAAAAAATGCATAGATTATTAGGTAGCAATTTCCCCTAAGAGCTTCACTTTTTTTCCTTTTTCCTTTCCTAGTTACCTGACAGAACCAGTGAAGTTCATGTTAGTTTGTATTACCTATTTCTATTCTCTGTGGTGATAAATATAAAAAACATTAGCAAGAAAGAAGAAAAAGCTAAAATTTGAAGATATTACCTAGCAGTGTGCACAGGCAGAAACAGTGGATGACAGTTTACAAGTAGTATTACCTGCTATACCAAAGCATTTTACAGTTTCAGGAACATTATTATGGAATTAGTTATTTTACTTCTGAAAAAGGTAATGTAGGAGGCATCTTCATGGTAATTGATTATTCTTGATTCTGCTACTTTGATATGCACTGTAATTTTTAAAAAAGCTGTTTTATTCTATGTCATTATTACACAGAGTGTTATTCCAGTTTTGCTCTTCAATGATACTGGATAGTTCTTTGAAACTCCATAAATTCAAATTGTAGTTTTCTCATATCATAAATTCAGTATCCAGTGATGACTTGGGGTTTAGTAACATCAGTCTAAAAGTGCATTGTGTGTCTGTCTTCTACTATTACTCTTAGACTAATTTAACTATTTTATAACTTTTTAGTATACAGTCTGCTAATTACAGTATATAATGCTTAATTCATTTAAGTGGAATTTGGGGGGTTGGAATATTTTATAAACTGGAGTTCAACTTCAGAATAAATTTTAGTTTACTTTTGCTGTTCCTCATTTTTTTTTTTTCCCTGAGATGTGTGGAGCCTTGGGAGGTTGGAAGAATTGTTTGGTGGAGCAATGAGGGCGTTGTTTATTCCACCCTAGATTCTTTAACTATTTTGGGAACTGTGAGAAACGTGTTAATGCTTTTATGATATACCAAAGACAATAAGACACACATTCTAGGACTTCAATTGTGCCTTTTACATAGGCACAGTGGTGCATGCCTGTAATTCATGTACTCAGGAGGCAGACACAGGAGGATCACCGCAACTTTGAGGCCCTCCTGGACTACATGGTGACTCCAGGCCAGCTGGGGTTATAGTGTGAGATCCTGCTTCAATAAACAAAACAGAACATTTCAGAGTTTTTCATATCTAAATAAACATTTTTCTTCCAAGTAATTAATTGCTTTTGGTGGATATTAACTAACTATTCTACATCGGACTATTATGCAACCTAAATTCTTATGTAGTATCTCCCCCAAATTGGCTTTCATAAGCCAAGTAATCCTTCTGCTCACTAACTTACTAAAATTTCTAACTGGCTGCCTGCCAGCTGCTGGCTCAGAGGGGAGAGGCCCTTTGGAGAGGTGGGAGTGCATGTGAACCTAAGAGTGTAGATGTGTTAGGAGCCTGACACTTACTGCATCTTAGGAATTGATGAGGACTCTGGTCAGATCATCTGGTCCAACCCTGTCACACTGCCCCCCTGATTTCTTTGCTTTCCCGTGTGCATGTGTGAAGGGGTGAGGAGTTGAAGGCTGTAAGTAAATAATCTTGATGGGGAGCTGAGGTGTTCAGGAAGAAGGAAGCCTTTTTATGGACTATATTGAGTTGCTAGGGACTTTAAAGTAGTCTGGCATCCTATACAGAAAACTAGGATTTCACAGTTACCAAGAAATAGACTTAACTTCGCCGTGCTTAAGGAGTTTGATACTAGTCTTTGTAGATGAAAAGATCGTTGACTTTTTCTGGGGAATGTGAAAATATCTATTCACCCCCCAAAAATGTATCATTGGCAAATCAAAGAAATGATTCTACCCAAGTTTAGGTTGGTGAAGCAAGGAATTTATTTGGGCTACTTAAAGGAGCCTGGGTGAGTGGTTACTTACAGGAGAATACATGACTCAAAGGCACCTGCTGAACTGCAAAGCTCCACCTAAGCATGGGTGATGTGAAAGTTGAATTCCTAGAGCTCCCTGGTGGACTTGGGCAGGCAGCTGCATGGATGACTCTCCTTTTTTCTGCAGTTGTTTACAGCTTATGAAATTGGGGGAGGAGCCTCTGTATCATAACTTTTTAGGCTTTCTGAGCCTCCAAAGTTACATTAGCTTCCTGAGTCTTATGATCCTTAACCCCCTCTCTGAGGGAATGTTTCAATTTAGAGGAAAAAAAAACTATATAACAAGGACTTTCTCACTGGGTATTTGTCTTGGCCCTGAGGACAGAGGGACAAACATGCTTTGATTACCTTATTTCTGGAGGGCAGGAGGGGTACTAGGAGTGCTGCATAGGTAAGGACCCAGGGTTCTGAAGGTTCCCTTGGGCTGCCCTAGTAAGAGGAAGGCAGCTTTTGCAGAAACCACGCTAATTGTTTCTTTCTGGGAGTCAGTCATTTCCTCACTTCCAGCATACTCTAGTTGTGCTTACTACTGGACTGCTTGGCATTTGAGTTCCTTTAACAAAGGCTAGAGTAAGGGCAAATTTTTATTTTAAAGTCTTTGGAATGAAGATGGGAGTTTGATTTCTAGCCATTACTTTCTAAAGAAAAGTCCTGCCATCCTTATTTGGGTCTTGTACATATTAGATTGACAGTTAATGACTTAGAATAGTATTTAAGAATCAACAGGTAAAGTGGACTTTCAGGGGTAATATTAGTTAGATTTATAAGACAGAATAATCTAGATACCAGCCAGGTCTTCCTTATTTTTCAGTTTTAACCTCAAACTAATCAAAGTGGTTTTTAGTGTTTGAAGATGCTCAGTCTCTACTTTACACCTCTAGATTGTCTCTTCCAGTTGTATAACTTAGTTCTTCTATTTTTCTTAGTGTATAGGTTCCCATTTCTGAAAATGCTGCTTTGGTTCTGCCTATTTCAGCTTGACATGAGATCCACCTAGCTATCTGTCTGTTTTATACTCACTAGTCTCTTTTACTCCCAAACATTCCTGGAGTAAATTATTGAACATGTGCTAAGTCACAGGGCAGCCTTGTCTTTGGAGCACTTGATTTTCTGTGATTTCACTGGTCCCCTTGTCATTTCCCTCTTTTTTCTTTTTTCCTTTTGCTGTAGAAACTGCTGTAATCCCTCTGATTTGGGTCAGGACAGCTTTGCCACACAATGAGCAGTCTTACTTTCTTGTCATGGTATTAAAAACATGTCTCTTCCAACTGGTCCTAATTTATAACTGATCCTAATTTATAACTTACCACCAGTTTCCTCTTTTCCTATTACAGTTGTTGGATGCACAAACTTCTAAATAGCTTTTATGATACATAAAAAATTTCTTTTCTCTGCATTCAACCAGTATTTGAGCATCTACTTTATGAAAGGAACTGAGTTTAATATTGGGATAAGAGACTTAGTCATAGGTTCTGAGCTTAAGCTGGAAGAAGATGGAGACAATGAGTATGCAGTAGGGTGGAATCAGATGAAATCTGGTTTAGGAAAGGGAGGATTGGGCAGTTACATAATTTGTAGCAAAAGATGATAATCACTAGAAGAAGTATAGAAAATGGAAGGGGCAGGATGGGTTGGGGGAGGTTGTGGAGGAGCTGAGACAGCTCCAGGATGTCTCCTGTAGCCGCGTTCAGGAGAAGCTGGGAGTTTTGACTTGGCCACAGAAGAGAATTTCAAGAGGAGTCAGTATGAAGCAGAATTGGAGTTCATTAAGAAGAGATTTTAACATAGATTTAAACATGAAGATTAATAGGTGCTCAGGGAAAATATAAGATAGATCTAAGTGTAGGCATGGGCTACTCAAGAGAGAGTTGCAATTGTCTTTGCCATAACCATATAGATGATTTTGGTGGGTTCTGAAGCTACATCTCATAAGGTTGTTAAGACACTTAAATGTGATCGTAGGATAGTTTCTGATGTGCATGTTTTAAGTAGTATTACACCTGATAAAGGTAAACTTTAGGTCACGGGCTCCTTCTCATGCCCCCTGAATTGTCCTGGTCTTTGTACTTTGTATCCTACCCAGAAAAGGCCTGTAGGGAGCCCATAGGACCAGGATAGATGTGGTATGTTTATATAGTATGTAGTATTTGAGCTGGGCCTCAAGTGGGATGGATTTAGATGTGTGTAGATAGAGGAGTGGTCTGGTGTATTTGGGAGAGTATAGGAGAGTATACTGTATTGATTGACTTGGTTGGCCAAAAGAATTGGACTGGGAAAAACAGAATGTGGTGGCACACCTTGATTCTAGTACTTGGGAAGTAGAAGGAGGAGAACTGGAGTTTGAGGACAGCCTGGGCTAGAGCAAGGATGTCTCACATAATTGGACTGGGAGAATTTATGGTATATACAAGAAACAATTGGGATTTGGATGGCTTTTCGGGAGTGATAGCATACATAGGTGAGAGCGTTCATTGTGGATAGATTGGCCTACTCCTAGGAAGGACTGACTCCTTTTTGATTTGACATGGCATTGGAAGCATTTTGTTTTCTAAATGTACTTTATGGAGGTATGGTTTTGTTTTGTTGTTCAAGATCTTCATTTTTCTTTGGATAAAGTTGTAAGCTGGCTTAAGCCATGATGGCACTTAGAGTGAATCAGAATACTTAAGGAACTGAGAGAGACTTCAAGAGAGTCCTGGAGTTGCAGGCTAGAAATTGTTCAGATCTTTCTTCCAGCTTTTCTGTGCCTTCATGCCATTCTTCAGTCCTACTTCCTCTGATTTTGTAGTCAATAAGATAGGCTTAAGTTACCTGTGTCTCATCTGCTAGTTTGTTTCTCGTTTCAGCCAGTCAGGTGAACCTTAGCTCTTGAATCCCAATTCTGAATACCTGAAGAAAGTTGCGTCAGAGACCTACTGAGTATATGCTCGGCTAATGCTCTACCACAGCGCTTTACCCCTATCTGTTGACTCCGGTCTCTCCTGTCATAAAGTTTTGACTTTTTTTTTCTACTAGCTTCAGATCCTTAAAAAATATTGCAGAGATCATCCATATCCCCTGTTACTGCTCTTTCCTTCCTTTCCCCCTTTTTCTATTT